CGAAAACATAGAGGAGATGACCGTATTTTGACCATCTCCACTAGTGTTTGCTATAACTATGTCTTGTTCAGTCTCGAACTACAAGTTTGGTATTTAATCCGGTTCTTTATCACTTTACTGGTATGCATGGGTTGTTTATCCTGTTAAAAATAATCAAAGTCATGTTGTGAAACTCTGCAAAAGACTTTAAGAGTAGCTTTTGGTATCGAATCATTAATCTTAGACGAAACAAAATGGGTATCAAATGACAAATGACTTCGACAGAAGTCGTTATCTGGGGCGCCCAGCCTGTTTGCATGTGTGCCTATTAGCCAGTGTCCCGTAAGGGAGCGTATGACTGAGCTGCACCCACTCCTACTGAGTTTGCAGAGCTCATCGGTGCGCTTCCTATTAATGCTAGGCCATGTTTGCCGAGTTATGCGACATAGTGGCACAGTTTGCCATCTGTCATTTATTAGTCGCTTAAAATGTTCTTTTATTTTGAGCTTGCAGGTGGCCATTGGCATACGAATATCCTCCTTATCATTGAGAAGGGGGATTGTTGTTCCAGCTCTGGCCAGCTCGTCCGCTATGCAGTTGCCTTCAATCTCCTGGTGGCCCGGGACCCATATTAGGCTGATGACGAACTGATAAGCCATCTCATGAAGAGATTTGCGACAGTTTGCCACGGTAGCCGAGCTTGTTGTTATCGCATTTAGCGATTTGATCGCAGCTTGGCTATCACTATAGATATTTATGTGAGTTGCCGCAGGGGTTAGTTCCTGAAGACAGCTCAAAGCTTCCTTGATCGCTATGACTTCCGCTTGGAAGACACTGCAGTGATCCGGGAGCCTGAAGGAGTGACTTATGTTAAGCTGTTCGGAGTAGATTCCTCCTCCGACCTTGTTGTCCAGCTTTGAGCCATCAGTAAAGATTCGAATGGCTCCCTTTGGACCAGGTGGTCCCTCAAGCCAGTTGTTTCTGTGAGGGATGATTGTTTCAAAGGGGGTATCTGTATACTCCCTCGGAACGCAGTAGTCCGTTTTTGTGGGGACGATTTTGTTTCCCTTTAGGATGGACGCATGACCGGTGTGATGTGACACCCATTGGTCAGAGTCTCTAAGACGGATTGCTGCCATTTCTGCCTGCTCCTTACCTGCAAGGTCAAGGCTCTGCAGGCATAGTATAGCATTTAGCGCATCCGTTGGTGTTGTGCTCAGAGCTCCACTGATGCATAGGGCTGCAGTACACTGCACCTTGCCTAGTTGTTTAGTGATGGTCCCCTTCGATAGGGCAGGCCACCACACTGCGACTCCGTAGAGCAGTATTGGTCTTACTATTGCTAGGTAGATCCATTGGACTATTTTTGGGTTCATGCCCCATTTTAGCCCAATGGCCTTCTTGCAAGTGTAGAGGGCTATCGTAGCCTTCTTCACTCTGTCTTTGATGCTCAGGTTCCAGCTAAGCATTTTATCAATTACCAACCCTAAGTAACTGGCACTGTCGCTGAAGGAGAGCCTGCATCCGTTTAGTATTGGGGGGTTGAGGGACGGGATTTGGTATTTGGTTGTAAACAACACAAGTTCCGTTTTAGAGGGATTAACTCCCAGTCCACGCGACTTTGTCCATTCTGACAGTCGCGCGAGCTTCGCGGTCATTAGATCGCAGAGTGTTTGAGGGAATTTTCCCGAGAAGATAATGGCAACGTCGTCCGCGTATGCTACCACCTTGCAGCCCTCCCCCTCCAGGTCACACAGAATCTTGTTGACTGCTATGTTCCATAGAAGGGGAGACAGGACACCACCTTGCGGGGTGCCTCTGTTGACATACCTTGACTGAGTGGACGATCCCATTGATGATGTCACTGTCCTGCATGTGAGCAATTGATCTATGAGCATCACCAAGTGACGATCCACTCCCAGGTCAGTCAGGGCCTCTGTGATGGCTCCTGGTATGACGTTGTTAAAAGCTCCCTCAATGTCTAGGAAAGCGATTAAGGAGTATTCTTTGACGTGTAATAAAGAGTAACTAATAATGAAAAAATTAATTTAGTACTTCCTTTTTAGCTATCTTTTTAATTTTCATTATTTTGTTGATGTCCATCTCCTTCTCCCATGCCGGACATAACATTCTATCTCTTTCTGTATGGTTTCTTCAATTGCACAGTATGCATTTAAGCACTGTACACGTTGCATCTCCTTGCCGACTTGCATCTGGCAGAAATGTGCCCAAGCCTACCGCAGTTGAAGCATTGACGTACCTTCGGTATGTAATGATGCGACATTACTTTTTTTTTCTTCCATACATTCTGCACTAATTGCATATGTCTTGGTTTTCGGAGCAGCCGCTGGCAACAAGCTCTTTGCGCGAGCTGTCGCTCTTACATCGAATGCACGCCCGCTCTTACCATCAAACGCTCGCTCACTGATCGTAGATCAAGCCCGAGTGCATAGCGTTGAGCGGGCTGATTGAGTTGCATTGCTCTTGAGAGCAGGGGAGTCGAAACCGTGAGAGCAAATGGAACGGACTAATATAGTCCAACGACCCTTGAAAATTAGTTATATGTTCAGTAACCCTTCCCCATAAAACACACGGATTGAACTTGTCGCTGGTCGAGAATAAAGCCAATATTGTTAAGTTTAAACGATTTCGCGTTCTAACTTTCTTTTTTTTGGAAATTATTCAAGCGGTCGGAAATCCCGACAGCTCACAACATTTGGAGGTTCTACCGAAATATCCGTGTATATCGTGTTTCGTGGGAAGTGCATAAAACATACTACAAACATACAGCAGTTTTAATATATTGTACAAACATTATTGTGTTCTAACAGCAGCAATAACGGAATCGGAACCGCTTGAGTACATATATACAGCATAATCGTATGTGCGCTGCTTGATTCCGTTGCATTTTCGGTCTTCGCTTTCGCCCTCAGTGCTGGTGCAGTTCAGTTACATGCGTTCGCCGTTCTTTCGTAGTTGCAGCTTTCTACCTGCATTCGCTGCCTTTGACCGCACTTTCGCTCGCATCGTTAGATCCGCGCAGACGGCTCGAAAAACTCTGTTTCTAGAAGAGTTTACCGGACATCCGTCCGCCTCGGATGTCACGCCGTCGAGTGGCGCTCCAGTTGGTGAAGTGGCGGCTAGTGCTGATCTAGCTACTAGCCGAATTGCATTCTTGACCCTCAAGACAAAGGCTATCTTCGACCGACTTCAGGCCCTGTGCTCCCAATTGGACCTCGAAAAGTTGCGAAGCTTGGACGAGTATGATTTGAAAGGCTTTCTAGATCTGTTGGACAAATTGGAGTCGAATTTTTATGTCCCTCACGACCGATTGCAGGAGCAGGATTTTCAAGCTATTACTAGTGACTTGCCTGGGCAGTTCGGTACTGCCTTACTAAAAGTAAACACCCTTCTGCAACGTGAGTTAGGCAAGCACTCAAAGCCAACGCATTGTTCCACTTTTCGGATAGATCCCAGTGAATCGCAATCTATCATGTATATGGCCAATCGATCGCGTTTGCCGCAGCTGCAGCTGCCCAAGTTCACTGCTGTGATTGATAGTGAAGCTGATCTGACTTGTATCGAGAAGTTGCAACATTTGCGATCATGTTTGAGCGGCGTTGGACAGCATTAGTTCGTTGGAGATCAACCAGGCCAACTATACGACTGCATTAGATATACTTAAAAAACGATTTAGTAATAAACGTCTTATCCTACAGGCACACACTAGAGAGGTATTTGGGCTGGAGCGAGCGGATTCATCGGTTGGAAAGCTGCGGGCGTTTACGGACTCAGTCACCGCACATCTTCGTGCGCTGAAAGCGCTGGGAACAAAGGAGGAGATCGCCGATTGCGTAATCGTTCACGTAGTCGTGCAGAAGTTGGACAGGGCGATTCAATCGAAATGGGAAGAAGGTTCGTCGAATCAAGATCTTCCCTCTTGGGAGAAATTGTCTGCCTTTCTGGACAAAAGATGTCGTACCCTGGAAAATGTTGATCACGCCCTGCATGGGAATTCTGGTCAGGTTAGCAAGTTAGTAAAGACCGTGAGTACGTACCCTAAAAAATCATTTGTTGCATCGGCGGGCTTAGGTTTTTGTGAGCTATGCCGTCCCGAAGACCATTTGATTTCGCAATGCAAGCGCTTTGAAAAGATGTCTCCTAGAGCGCGGCATAAGGAGGCCAAGCGACTGTCACTTTGCATTAACTGCTTGCATAAGGGCCATCAGATGCGAGATTGCCGATCAGGTCCCTGCCGTACCTGCCAATCAAATCACCATACGCTGCTTCATTACATGCCATCGCCCGTGTCCACGCAGTCTATGAACCAATCCGCCGTTGTTAACCCCAGCATTGCCCAACCTAGCTCGATGGTCGCAGTTTCGCCCAGCGCTCCCCAGTCCTCTCGTATCTCGTCTGATGTGGTGCTTCTAGCAACAGCTGTTGGGCTCATCAAGGTTCTGGCTGGCACGTTTGTACCATGTCGAGCTCTTTTGGATTCTGGTTCCCAAGTTCATTTCGTCACTTCTCGGTTTGTGGAGAAGCTAAAACTTCGCAAAATCGTTGGCTGCAGTTTCAGGCATTGGAGACGTCAGCTTTTCCACAGAAGGTTACTCAGTCGATCTCGTCCTAAAATCTCGCATCTCGCAACCATGAGGGCCGTCGTAGCTCCGCGGATAACAGACCAGCGGACCATAACCATTCGTTCAACATTGAATCTTGCAGCGTACTGTCGATTATGCAGCTTGCTGATCCATCGTTTTTCGTACCACAGCGAATTGGAGCAGATCTATTTTTTGAATTGCTGTGCATTGGCCAAATGCATATAGCTTTTGGGATTGCCATTGCTGCAAAAAACACTCCTTGGATGGGTGTTCTCGGGAGGCTGCAATCGACTGCCCCAGTCGTCATCATTCGTTGCATCGCAAGAAGCAACGCCTGCGCCTACCCCAGTTGTCCAGTTAGATGAGTTGGTTTGTCAGTTCTGGGAAGTAGAGCACGTCTACGAGCCAATCTCAAGGATGTCCGCAGAAGAGCTTCATTGTGAAGAGCACTTCCATCAGCACTACAGTAGGTTGCCTACGGGGGAATACTCTGTTCATCTGCCGATGAAGCGTGATGTAGGTCTGTTAGGCGATTCGTATTTGCAAGCCAAAAGGCAATTTGAGAATCTTGAGAGCAAGTTTAGTCGAAGTCCAAAGGTTAAGGACCAATACGCAGCATTCATTAAGGAACATTTGGACCTCAAGCAAATGTCGTCCGTGCCTAGCTCGCAAGTACATGAGTGTAAATCCTTCTTGCCGCCCCATTGCATACTGAAAGAGGAGAGTTCGTCCACAAAGTTAAGGGTCGTGTTCGATGGCTCAGCAGTGACGTCGTCTGGATTCTCGTTAAATGAGCTCCTAATGTCAGGGCCCACAATTCAGGCGAAGCTCTTTACCACTCTAGTGCGTTTTCGTACATTTGCTATTGGAATTACCGGAGAAATTTGTAAGATGTACCGATGTGTGCGCGTGGCAGAGCCACAGTGTATTTTGTGGCGTGATTCACCCAAAGATGACATCCAAGTTTTCAAGCTGGACACGGTCACGTATGGCACCAAGTCTGCTTCAATTTTGGCCATTCGTGCAATGCAACAACTCGCCATGGATAAGTTTTCGTCGTATCCATTGGGCTCGAAAGTCGTTTTACAGGACTTCTATGTTGATGACAGGAGGCGATGCGGTTGAAGAAGTGCGGAAGGTCATGCATCAAACCACACAACTCCTTGGTCTTGGTAATTTTCGTTTGAGAAAGTGGTGCTCGAGCAGAAGTAGAAATGCTTCAGGATGTCCTAGAGGCCGACAAGGAAACCCTTCTAAAGTTTGATGACGGGAGCGACATTACAAAGACTCTTGGGCTCGTATGGGATCCACGCAGGGACAAGTTCTTATTCACCTTTGCACCCAAAATCAGTCTTGGCCGACACACAAAGCTGACTGTGCTATCATTAACCGCACGGTGTTACGATCCCCTCCGTTTAATCGATCAACGTTGACAAGGGCGAAGATAATTCTTCAGAAGATGTGGAGAAGCAAGTTGGACTGGGACGAGAGCTTGCCGCAGGCTTTAGAGAGTGGATGGACCCAATTCTGCCAGGATGTTGCCGAAGTTGATCGTGCTGAGTTTCATCGCTACGTTCTGCATGTTGGAGCCAGGTTCGAAGTGTACGCATTTTGTGATGCCAGTCTCGCTGCGTTTGGAACGTGCATTTATACGTGATCGGTTACCTCACTTGGAGTTCAAACCCATCTACTTTGTTCGAAATCTCGGCTGGCACCTCTGAACACGATCAGCATTCACAAGTTGGAGCTCTGTGGTGCCGCGCTTCTTGCGCACTTGGTTAGCGAGGTCTTGAGGATAGAAGCGCTCAATTGCAAAGTCTATTGTTGGTCAGACTCCTCTGTGGTGCTTTCGTGGCTGAAGGCTGAAGAGTCTTCGAAACTCAACGTGTTCGTTGCCAGCAGGGTCGCTGCCATACAGCAGCTGACGCAGGGAATGGAATTATGTCCCGACCGCGTTGAACCCGGCTGACATAATTTCCAAGGGAGCCTCACCTCAGGAACTCTTGCAGTCGTCTCTTTGGATGAAGGGACCGGCATTTCTACAAATGGAGAAGGATAGTTGGCCTAAATCTTGTTTGCCAGAGAGAGACCTTCCTGAAGCTCGGCAGAAGGCTCTGTTCATCAACTCGTTTGGAACGATGCAACGAATCTTTGGATATGTTTTTAAGTTCGTCACCAAAGCTCACACTCAAGGATATTCGCGGGGGAACCCATTTGCTCCTTCGCATTGTTCAAAGGGCTTCGTTGTCTCCAGAGTATAAGGCTTTGACAAATGAAAGTAAAATCGATTCTTTAAGCAGCATTGCATTGCTGTCTCCTGTTCTGGACTCGCTTGGATTAATTCGCATAGGTGGAAGATTTCAACAGTCATCGCTTGATTATGAAGCTCGCCATCCAATTATTTTACCGAAGGATCATCCGTTGACGTTTGCCGTCGTTGAGCACTTTCACCGGAAGCATCACCATGCAGGCCCGCATTCGCTGCTCGGCTTGATTCGGTTGCAGTATTGGCCGATAGGCGGAATAAAGACGGTTTCTCGCGCATAGCGGAAATGCATCATCTGCAGTAAATATCGGCCTCGTCTCGTGAAGCACATAATGGCAGATTTGCCAAAGGATCGAGTGGAGAAGTCACCGGCATTCACTGTGACCGGGATTGACTACTGTGGACCCTTCTACTACAAGACCGATGTACGCAACGAGACCCCACAGAAGTGTTACATATCGGTGTTTATTTGCTTCGCCACCAAGGCAGTATCGCTGGAGCTGGTAAAGAATCTAACGACACCTTCGTTCCTGGCCGCCCTCAAACGTTTTACGGCCACAAGAGGCATTACAAGATGGATTTGGTCGGACAATGCGACCAACTTCGTTGTCGCAAGGAATGAGCTGGAGGAACTAAAACGCCTGTTCTTGAGCCAGAAGCACATTGACGACGTTCATGCGCATTGCCTGAACAGTGGCTTCGATTGGCGTTTCATCCCACCTCGATCCCCGCACTTTGGCGGGCTTTGGGAGGCTGCTGTCAAAATGACTAAGCGGCACCTATACACTTCAGTCGGAACGGGCATCCTTGGTTTCGAAGAGCTTCTGACCTTGGTATGCCAAATACAGGGAATAATAAATTCTCGCCCTCTTGTACTACTCGACGAGCTGTTACCTAGCTCTGCACCCTTTCCGTAGATGCTAGTGCGGAAGTCCATGATATTCCGCAGGGAGGAGAACGTTCGGAGCAGCCGCTGGCAACAAGCTCTTTGCGCGAGCTGTCGCTCTTACATCGAATGCACGCCCGCTCTTACCATCAAACGGTCGGAAAAGCCCGACAGCTCACAACAGTTGGTGTTTTCGCTTGTCCGGTTTTTTTGCCGACGTTACGTCGTTTGTCAACTGGTCACTTTTATGCTACAATTCCAATCCTATCTACCTTATTTTGTCTTTTGCTGCTACTCGAAGCCATTTTAGGGTATTTTTTCACAGACGACGAGGAACCGGCGCCGCCAATGCTGCTGATTGGAGAAACCTCGGTAACTCTACGTGATGAATTAATTGAATTTATTTCTTTAATTTGTCTCTCGGAAAACTTTGTAACCCGGAAAAAAACACTACGAACAGATAAGAAACAACCGCAACCAGTCTCGGTTAATGTTGAAAAGGAAGTGTAATGATTTATTTAGAATTTTGAAATATTTTACATCTCCATATATAACATGTATATTATACATCTAAAATATAGATTACACATCTAAAATGTAGATTCAACATCTTCTCTGAAAAAAGTCGCGCACTGAATAGGGCAGAGTGTGTGCGAGCGAGAAAGAGAATGAGTAGCGTGGCCTCGTGTTGGAGGAGGTGGGGGAAACCACCTTTCATTAGTCTGGCTTATTATGATTATGATACGATCTGATCCAGATTCAGCAATCTACCAGATATGGTCGTTTTCTACGATGCTGCGTTTTCAGTTTTATGGTATTTTTAAAAATGTGCCTGCCACAGATTTTCGTCCTATGTGGTGGCGGAAGTGGGCGGGGCGAAATTTTGAAATACACTTGTAGTAGTGTGAGATCACATGAGTCTGGAAAAAAAATTTGTTGTTGAACAGCCCCGATCGAGGCAGCCAAGGGAGAGCTCAACTTCGGGTTCAGCTCGGTGACCATGAAGGTCTACAAGTCGGATGCAGCGGCCGAGGCGCGTTCTGTCAACAACCCAGTTGAGCAGGACGTTGCCTCGGAGATCGAGGCACCCGAAGTAGACCCGGAGCCGGAGCCGGCCCTGGAGAGCTACTCCTCGGAGACGGAGCTGATGCTCGATTTTGAGGCGCTGTGTCGGGACGAGATCCTCGACGACTCTGACGCCGATATAACAGTGGTGGAGAACGACTCTAACGAAGTCTCTGAGGCTTCTGCAGATAAATCTCCACCACTGTAAAGCAGCATCCGCTGCCCTAATACTCCGCTTAGTCGCAAGCGGAGGGGACATAGTCCTAATCCAAGAGCCCTGGGTGGTAGGAGGCAGGGTCTGTGGATTAGCGACGAAGGACTACAAGCTGATTGTAGCCCAAACTGAAGGTAAAATTAGAACCTGCATACTAGCAAGAAAGCACCTAAATATCTTTCTGCTCCCCAATTATAGCAATGGCGACAACACGGCGGCTAGCCTAGAGCTACAAGGGACACGCCTGAACCTGGTGTCGTCCTACATGGCTCACGAGGAAAGCGATCCTCCCAGTGACCTCGTTCGCAAGATAGCCAGCGACAGCAAGAGGTCGGATACAAGCCTATGTATAGGCTGCGATGCCAACGCTCACCACACCCAATGTGGGAGCTCGGATACAAATGTAAGGGGTGAGTCACTTTTCAGCTTCATCCTAAACTCCAACCTAATTATTGGTAATCGGGGTAATGACCCCACTTTCATCATAAAAAACCGTCAAGAGGTTATTGACCTCACTCTATTGTCTCACAAACTGTCAGACATAATGAAAAGTTGGAGAGTCCTAGAGGACCACTCCTCCGACCACAGGTACATCGAGACAATCCTATCGCTCGAAAGCACCACACCCACAAACTATACTAATCCCAGGAAAGCCAACTGGGATACATATAGTGCAAAAATGGAGGAATTACTCCCCCCCCTAGCACCAAAATGCCCGGACACACAAGACGATCTTAATCGTCTTGTGGACAATTTCACGGAAGCTTGCAATAAGGCCTTCATGGCAGCTTGCCCCCCAACCAAACCAAGAGGGAAAAAGAAGCCCCCCTGGTGGTCTAAACATATCTAAACATATAGATACCCTCCGGAAAGACTGCAGGACTCTCTTTAACAGAGCCAAAAGCAGCAGCGAGGAAGCGCACTGGGAAAATTACAAAAGTAAGCTAACCCTATACAAAAAAGAAACAAGGAGAGGAAAACGGGCCTCTTGGCAAAAATTTTTCTCCGAAATTGAAGACACGTCAGAAGCCGCAAGGCTATGCAAGATCCTGTCAAAAACATCCCCCTCGGTGGGATATCTCAAGAGAACGGATGGTACGTGGACAAACTCTAGTGAGGACTCCCTACACATTCTACTCGATACTCATTTTCCTGGTGTACGACCATCGAGCCGGCAGACACCCCAAGTGAAGGCACGGAAACCTCGATGGTGCACATCCTCACAAAACGGAATATTAGCTGGGCAGTAAACAGCTTTAAATCCTTCAAATCGCCTGGCCCGGACCAAGTCATTCCGGCTCAGTTACAAAAAGCCGGGGACATGGCCATCAACTGGCTGCAAAGTATCTTCAGGAAGATACTGACAGTGGGAAAAATCCCCCGAGCTTGGCTAAAGGCTAAAATAGTCTTTATCCCCAAAGCAGGGAAACCCTCACACACAACCCCAAAAGACTTCAGACCAATAAGTCTATCGTCCTTTCTTCTCAAAACCTTTGAGAGACTAGTCGGGCTGCAGCTGAGAACAACCATAAATCCTCAGTGGCTGTCTGGCGCACAACATGCCTACCGTAAAGGAAAATCCACGGAAACGGCACTCCATGAAGTAATCTCGGCGGTAAAGAAATCTCTACACGTCAAAGAATACTCCTTAATCGCTTTCCTAGACATTGAGGGAGCTTTTAACAACATCATACCAGGAGCCATCACAGAGGCCCTGACTGACCCGGGAGTGGATCGTCACTTGGTGATGCTCATAGATCAATTGCTCACATGCAGGACAGTGACATCATCAATGGGATCGTCCACTCAGTCAAGGTATGTCAACAGAGGCACCCCGCAAGGTGGTGTCCTGTCTCCCCTTCTATGGAACATAGCAGTCAACAAGATTCTGTGTGACCTGGAGGGGGAGGGCTGCAAGGTGGTAGCATACGCGGACGACGTTGCCATTATCTTCTCGGGAAAATTCCCTCAAACACTCTGCGATCTAATGACCGCGAAGCTCGCGCGACTGTCAGAATGGACAAAGTCGCGTGGACTGGGAGTTAATCCCTCTAAAACGGAACTTGTGTTGTTTACAACCAAATACCAAATCCCGTCCCTCAACCCCCCAATACTAAACGGATGCAGGCTCTCCTTCAGCGACAGTGCCAGTTACTTAGGGTTGGTAATTGATAAAAAGCTTAGCTGGAACCTGAGCATCAAAGACAGAGTGAAGAAGGCTACGATAGCCCTCTACACTTGCAAGAAGGCCATTGGGCTAAAATGGGGCATGAACCCAAAAATAGTCCAATGGATCTACCTAGCAATAGTAAGACCAATACTGCTCTACGGAGTCGCAGTGTGGTGGCCTGCCCTATCGAAGGGGACCATCACTAAACAACTAGGCAAGGTGCAGCGTACTGCAGCCCTATGCATCAGTGGAGCTCTGAGCACAACACCAACGGATGCGCTAAATGCTATACTATGCCTGCAGAGCCTTGACCTTGCAGGTAAGGAGCAGGCAGAAATGGCAGCAATCCGTCTTAGAGACTCTGACCAATGGGTGTCACATCACACCGGTCATGCGTCCATCCTAAAGGGAAACAAAATCGTCCCCACAAAAACGGACTACTGCGTTCCGAGGGAGTATACAGATACCCCCTTTGAAACAATCATCCCTCACAGAAACAACTGGCTTGAGGGACCACCTGGTCCAAAGGGAGCCATTCGAATCTTTACTGATGGCTCAAAGCTGGACAACAAGGTCGGAGGAGGAATCTACTCCGAACAGCTGAACATAAGACACTCCTTCAGGCTCCCGGATCACTGCAGTGTCTTCCAAGAGGAAGTCATAACGATCAAGGAAGCTTTGAGCTGTCTTCAGGAACTAGCCCCTGCGGCAACTCATATAAATATCTATAGTGATAGCCAAGCAGCGATCAAATCGCTAAATGCGATAACAACAAGCTCGGCTACCGTGGCAAACTGTCGCAAATCTCTTCATGAGATGGCTTATCAGTTCGTCATCAGCCTAATATGGGTCCCGGGCCACCAGGAGATTGAAGGCAACTGCATAGCGGACGAGCTGGCCAGAGCTGGTACAACAATCCCCCTTCTCCTTGATAAGGAGGATATTCGTATGCCAATGGCCACCTGCAAGCTCAAAATAAAAGAACATTTTAAGCGATTAATAAATGACAGATGGCAAACTGTGCCACTATGTCGCATAACTCGGCAAACATGGCCTAACATTATAAGGAAGCGCACCGATGAGCTTTGCAAACTCAGTAGGAGTAGGTGCAGCTCAGTCATACGCTCCCTTACGGGACACTGGCTAATAGGCACACATGCAAACAGGCTGGGCGCCCCATATAACGACTTCTGTCGAAGCTGTAGAGATGAGGACGAGGAGGAGACTGTGGAACACCTGTTCTGCTCCTGTCCGGCTCTCAGTAGAAGGAGACTTCAATACTTGGGTGTTTTTTTTCTAATTGACATTTCGGACATGTCTACAATCAGTCCCAGACGGATCGCAGGCTTCATAAGGGCATCCGGATGGGATAATGGATAACATAGGGTCTTACGAGGGAGAAGGGAACGATATATGCGGTATCACAATGGGCCGAAACCGGCCTAGGTGTGTCGGGTCTCTGACAATCTCGATAGCCGCCTCAACCTAACCTAACCTAACACACCACAAATACAATAAGCCCCTTAACTCTTTGCGTACGGGCATAAAAAAAACTAAACCGCAAGTAAAATATATGGCACGTTTTTCTAGCTAAACTTATTTCGAATATGAGTAGTACGATTTATCGTTTATTGAAGTTGACTGGGACCTAGCAAGCCTGACAGCCGGCTCTCACTTAATCTAGCCTGTTCCAGGGCCCATAGCCTGATGAGAATCCGATGATATTTATCAGTAGTAGTTGCCAGCCACCTGAATAAAATAGATTCGATACATATTTCAGTGTTTATTTCACACTCAATTAAAGAAAGAACGAGAAGAAACGTGTGAGTCGCTTCTAAGGACGCGTATATTCATATTTGAGCTTGAGCTAGATTATACATGTACCATTTAGATTCTACATCTCATCCGCTAGAGGGCACTCGCGTACAAGTTAACAACAACATTGTTCGCCACATGAACAAGAGTTCAGTGGCAGAAACAATTCCGCAACTTTGTGACCAAACAGTTGCGCCGACCCAAGATTCCGGGAACATAAATAAAATCCCAAAATGCTTAATTAACAATTGTCGCCGCCAACGGAAAAGTATCCGTTTACGCAGACGTCGCCACCAGCTATAAACAAATCCAAAATGCTGAAACTGCAATTGTCGCCGTCAGCAGAAAAGTATCCGCCTACGCCGACGTCGCCACGAGCTACGCCAGCGTCGCTGCCGAAAGCTCACAGCTAGTTTAGGGATATCTTAAGTTTATAAATTCAGTCCGATTTTTATTCTCCAATAAAGAAGTTCAACATTCAATCTTTTGGAAATTAACTTACATAACGAGGCAGAGTGTGCGAGCGAGAAAGAGAATGAGTAGCGGGTCTCTTGCTGAAGTAAGCGGGGAAAGCAATGGTAAATTAATTTCTTCATTCTGGTTATAATTATGCTCCGATCTGATTCAGATTCGGCAATCTGGTAGATATGGGCATTCTCTACGATACTGAGCTTTTAGTTTTATCGTATCTTTAAAATTGTGCCTACCACAGATTTTTAGTTCTTTGTAGTGGCGGAAGGGGAGGGACGAAATTTTGAAATACACTTCTAACAGTGTGATATAACATGAGTCTTTAAACCAAATTTGGTTTCTCTAGCTCCTATAGTCTCTGAGTCTCTATCGACTCGGCTATTGATGCTGATAAAGAATATATATACTTTATGAGGTCGGAAACGTTGCCTTCTCTGCGTTACACACATCCACTTTTAACACAAATCTAATATACCCCTTAACTCTTTTTGGAGTACGGGTATAGAAATTAAAAGTTCTGTTCACTTATACCTTATTTAAACTAGAATTGAGTTGAGTTTTGATCAAAGCTCAGTTTTTTTACATAGGAAAATCATAGGCTTCTAGTTCTGCTGTTTTGTCTATTAAGTGAAATGCAACCACAAACCAACAGGAAAGTTGTGAATCGCGGCATCTATTTTTATACAGATAAAACAGTACAGATCGTAAATCAACTGAAGGAATTGACATACTGAATGCTGATGGATAAGGAACTTAGACTAATTGTCTGAAATCTGAAATTATCTTTTCTGGTCTCTCACCAAAATACAAAAGATGGATTTTCCGTCGCCCGCTTAAGTTTACACTCAAGTCGTAAGGTAGACGTTTCGTCGATATGAAGCTCAGGCGCGCTTGTTATTTCTGCTACCGCTTCTGTGATTATAAGTCGTTAGAAATTTTTTTATTACAAATTTTTAAATCTAATACTACTTACCAACAATTTTTAGTTCAATAAAAATTGACTGAGTTGGGTAAATTGACAATTGACACTCATAAAATCCACGATCCTCTTCTCTGACGGCTTTAATTCTAAGGGACCAGTGTCCCATATGACGCGTATGCTCAACCAAAAACCGTTTATCGCTACTATGTGTTGACAATCCAACCGTTAGTAGCTGGAAATCTTTCCTGCGTATCCAAGAAACCTAAAAAATGGTAAACTAATAATTATTTTATTCAATGTTATATGTAACGAAATTATAATCATGGATTCCAGAATAATTTGTGGGCGACTCATGAGATTACATTTTTAGAACACTTTTTTCAGAGTTCAGATTGTTTCAGAGTTGCAGCAGAGCGTTGTAGAAATAAAACTAGCCAACAAAATTCTCTTGGAAGATAATTGGAAAAAATTGACAAATACAGCTCAAAAGCAACAGAGGCCTCGATTCTATGTTTATGCTTGGTACTCAGTCAGTATTGTAACCAATCATGGGAACCATGGGCCGTTATATTCCATAGGTAGCATAGGCACCGCTATGTTAGACTAAGATCAACGAAATATACTAGAACAGTTATTATAGCCCTCGGGCCACCTCATTTTGGCGCGCGATCAGCTAGCCCACTGACCATCTGGTGGCTTAGCAAAAGAAACACAATTACTGGCCCACATTTAATCATCACCTTCCGCAATACAAGCTCGACCAAACCCATCTCCAAATCGCTGACCCTTCGTCAGAATGCCAGAATGTAGACGCAACAGAACCTATTCCAAAACCTACTGACCCACCTTTTCGATTTTTACCATATAAGCAAAACACTTCTTAACACCCACCGGCTGGGAGTTGAAATAGCGCCAACACAACAGAAAAAGAGGGCAGTCGAACAGTGCCTCGAGGCAGTTCATCAGCCATTAGCGACAGACCCCCACCAGTCGGTCACCAAGTCAAGCCGACCAAAAGCCAACAGCAGTGCAGAAAACAACACCTGGCAGTCCATCAAAGAGAAAACACCGTCCAGTTTTACCCGCCATCAGCAAAAGTTGGAAAAATAAACGCGAACCCGAAATAAAATAAGTGAGACCAGAGTCATTATTGCTCTCCAGAATCATTGCTTCTGCAGCACCACGGCCCACCTTTGACCTCTCCTCACTTCGGTCGAATCGGCCAGACCCGTACTTAGAGGACTAGGCAGGCTGAAACATACCCCAGCTTAAAACAAGTATCTTACAGTATATACATATGTACATACACTGCTCGTTATAAGGTTAGCACACCCCTCGCTTTTGAAATTTCTACTCAATTCTGTCCAAGCTAACAGAGTTCCGATGAACCTATTGTGCTTTGAGGTGGCTCAGAAGGGGCCTAGATGAGGCCACCGGACGGGTCGCAGGTTGCGGATAGCGAACGGCCACCTTGGTAGGTAGGTCAGCTGTGAATAAGCGTGCATCTCAAAGAGAAGCAAATAAGTTGGCTCTGATGGAGAGTACCGAAACAAGCAGTCCCGGATAGCCGGGTGTTCGCGAACCAGCAACACTGACGATGCGCTTGTGGTGCCACCTCTCATTAAGTAGCTCAAACACTCCCATCCTTACACAATACCTATCTACCCACATCCCAACCCCAAAATTCACCTCACCAACATTCACCGGTATAAAAACTATTGCAGTCGCGAACGGAGAGCTCAGAGACTTGGTAGCCCACTGATGTAATGATGCTTTATCCGGGCAATGTGAATCTCTGCCCGGACGGACCCTACTCCTTCTTTGCAACTCGTGGAAGCAGAATGGAAGCTAAAAACATCACAAATGAGCCTGGCTCTCCCCAACTGGGAGAAATCCCAAACAGGGAAAGGCAGCGGCGCAAAGGCCTGGCCTAACCCGCTACACAGAAGGAAAATTCTGCTCGGCGAAGAGCGCTGGGGCGAATCAAAAAGGTCCTATCTCGGAACCGGGATGGGTGGTGAATCTGCTCCCAAAACCGATACCTTAGCAGAGTGGCTATGCAATCCTGCCGCTGCTCTGCTGCTGGTAAAGTTGCGGGGGGCGAGTTGCCATCGACCAGCGCCCAAGCCAAAACTTTTACTTATGCCGAAAAACGGATCGCTGGTAGTCCATTGGACCAATGGCTGAAAAAGGTTGAGTAGGCTTCGAAGGTGCTCCCCAACTTCGGCAAAGAAGCGTAAAATGAAGCTCCTCAGCTTAAAAGGCAGCGCTCACACGAGACCCCTGGGCCTGCAAAGAGCTCCAGAGTCCTGCCCATTGTCTCGGTCGATTGCCAGAAAAAGGACACTTATCGGCGTCCTGAAAAACAGCACCGCAGACTCCACAATTCCCAGGAACCAGTGAAAGGTGGTGAAGCGGTATTAGTCGAGCTCTGCTTCGGGCTGCTGGAAGTACGAGAGAACGAGGCTATTGTCGATGACTCCGACGCGGATGTTAGAGCGGTGGAGAAACTTTTTCAGCTTCATTTTAAACTCTAATTTGATAATTTGTAATCGGGGTAACGACCACACTTTTATTATAAACGAGAAGGAACGTGTGAGTCGCTTCTGGGGACGCGCCTCTACTTATACCAGTACTCAGTCAGTATATACATTCTTGAGCTTATGATTTATATAGAATTTTTAAAAATTTTACATTTTTACATTTTTTTTCTACATCTGTTACCCACATCTACAATGTATATTCTACATCTTTTTTTTTTTTATTATTACCGGATTTTATTTATCGAATCTTCCCTATTAGAGACTTACAACAAGTATGCAAATCTTAGCCTAATATATTTATTTAATTAATTAAACTTAATTATTTAGAGTACGTCCCTAGCTAAGTATTATTGCTGGGTGGGAAGGTCTCTTCGCCGGAGTCGTGTATGGCTAGTGTGCCAAGTTAAAGACTGCGCAAGTCTATTAGGATGGGCTTAAAGCTTGGCCTGGTACTTTGCTTTCACTTTGGCAATTTCATCTTTAACTGATCCTACATTTAAGTCTTTATGGATATTTTCATTCCGTATGTACCATGGTGCCCCAGTGATAGTTCTTAGTATCTTCGATTGAGCTCTCTAGATTATTTCTAAATTACTAACGCAAGCATTTCCCCATACCTCGGAGCCGTATGTCCATGTATGTTCTGTGGAAGTAATATTTTGATTTTGTGGACTAAGCCATCTAACCAAACGCGGTCGAAAGCCTGGGCGACATCCAGAAAAACGGCGGAGCAATACTTCCGTCTTTCAAATGCATTTCGTATCTCAGAGGTTATACGGTTTACTTGTTCAATGGTTCCGTGTTTTACGCGAAATCCAAATTTTTAGTCGAAATGGCACCGTTGATTTGTAGGTGTTTTTTGATACGATTCAGGAGCAGCTTTTCAAATATCTTTGATAGGCAAGGCAGTAGGCTGATAGGTCTATATGATGATGGCTTGGACTTCCCTTTTCCGGCTTTATGGATCATTGTGATGACTGATTTCCTCCATTTTTGAGGATAATAGCCCCATTTCATCATGCTATTGAATATCACAGTAAGGAAATATACTGCACAGCTCGGCAATTCTATGATCATTTTAGGTGAGGTTAAATCGTGCCCCGGAGCTTTCTTTTGCTTTGAGATTTGATCTTTAATGACCCTTGTGACTTCTTATAATTGGAATATGATAGGCGGAGTAGCTTCGGGATTGTTGGTTGGTGGGAGCACAAAGCTATTTGTTGCTGGATGTGGTTTGAAGACGTTTTCCAGATGGACGGCAAATGTATTTGCCTTCTCTTGGTTGCTGCGAGCCCACTCTCCTGTTTGTGTACGCAAAGGTGATTCACTCTCGATTGGTGAGCATACGCCTGATTTTGCTTTCCACAGTAGGAATCGTTTGCTAGTTGGGGAGAGTTGCTCGATATAGAATATTTGAGCTCGGTTTTTTTCATCTTCTAGGGCTCTGCGTAGTAGGTGGTTGGCTATTTTTAGCCGCTCTTTCGAGGCAGGTGATCTGTGTGCTTGCCACTCTCGGCGAAGCCTTCTTTTATCGCGTAGCAGCACTTCAATGGAAAGTTTATTTGGTGCTAATATTGGTGTTGAGTGTTTTACCGCCAGTGACATTGAGGATACTAATGCTTCGACTGTCAATGTCATCTTTACAAAAAATGTTTGGGCAGCTATCAATATGGGAACTTATGTACTTCCTGTATTTGAGCCAATCTGTTTTGCTAGATGTTAGAAAGTATGGGCGTTCCGAAAGCTGTGGATGGTCGTAAAGGTGAAGTAGAATGGGCGAGTGATCCGATGATAGATCTGTTAAGTGATCTACATGAATCTGAGCTTGCAGCACCCTTCGTGTAACTGCAAAATCAATCAAGCCGGGTTGCTTGTTTGGATCTGTGGGCCAATATGTAGGCTTGCCCGGAAAGATAAGTTCTAGCTTGATCCGTGGCGTTATTATAGCGTTATATAGTTGTCCTCCTTTCGGGTTGGTAAGTCGAGATCCCCAATGGGTCTGCTTGGCTTTGTAGTCACCAGCTGCTATATCGGTCACCTAGTAGGTCGAAGAATGTTACAAATTCTGTTTCGTAAATGCAGATCCGCGGTGGGTAGTATACTGCGGCTAGGTTTAGGTATTGACGTTGATTTTGCCTGTAGATTAGGTGTAGAAAATTATGGCAACGTATAATGCCTAGTGCGATGCTTGATCAGAAGGCTAGTACCTCCATTTGCCTTACCATCGGGATAATTTGTCGCATAGAAGCTATAGTCATCGAGGTGAAAATAGTTTTTATTTGTTAGGTGAGTCTCTGATATGAGCTTGGCGTCAATGTCGTGTTGAGCGAGGAACTGTAAGAGCTCGCATTTGTGTTTCGAAATGCCATTTGCATTCCAGAAACAGATTTCTGTTTGATTAGGAGCTCCAGCAGGAGATTTTGGTTGCGCATAAGCTCCTGCAGCGTTTGCTGTATTGCTACCATTGTGTTTGTTATAGTTACCAGCATTGATTCAATTCCACTAGGCAATTGGGATGGATTAGCAGGGGTATGTTGGGCAGAGATTTCTGGGATCTGATTTAATGCCTGATGCTGCATTATTCCAGCTGTGGTTGGTTGAAGTGTCGGCTTATAGACTGAGGCGTACGACCCGTTGTTGTAACTTAACGCCTGAGCAAAAGAAACTCCTGGAGTCGTAGTTGATGGTATATATGTTAAGTTTTGTCGGACGACCGGGT